GGTGACATTGAGTGGCTTCCAACCAGTTACATATTCTTTGTAGGCTGTTCCAACAGTACTTGTTCTCAAAGCAAATGGTTCTGTTCGCCTATGCGCAAATTTTCCAACTGGTTTGAATAATGTCTCAGAACATCATACTTATCCATTTGCGGTTCAAGAAGATCTATTTGTTAAACTCAATTGTGGAGAATGTTTTGCTAAAATTGATCTCGCAGATGCCTATCTTCAAATACAGATCGAACCGAATTTCGGAGAGCTATTGAAAACCAGCACTTATTGAGGTCTTTATCAATATGCAAGCCTACCATTTGATGTCAAGCCAGCGCCTCTCTTCCACTATATCGTAGACACTATGCTTGCCACCCAACCTGGAGCTGCGGTCTTTTTAGGTGATTTGGTTGTCGCAGATAGCAGTAAATCTGAATTGTTTAATCGACTGGATGGCGTCCTTTTTAAATTTCTGAATTTAGTCTTTATTCTAAAGAAGAAAAGTGTACATTTTTCATGAATTCCGTGAAATATTTTGGATGAACATGGACGTCGACCAGACCCAGAGAATGTACGTGCTATCCAAAATAGACCACCATCAGATGTTTCGTAACTTCGGTCTTTCCTTGGTCTCATCAGTTAGTACAGTGTTTTCTTACCGTTTACGTGTTCCGTTGAAACATTTGCTGTCTAAAAATGTGAAATGGAATTGGACTGTAGAGTACCAATATAGCCTTGATAAGGTAATATCATTGCCCATGTCGGATATTTTACTTACGTATCGTAATCCTAATGTAGAAACTATCTTTACTGCAGATGCATTTGATTATGGCATTCATGCTGTTATTTCTCATTTTTCCTGTTGGCAAGGAGGAAAGCCATTGGATATGCTTCTCGAACTTTAAATGCAGCGGAACATAAATACAGCCAGGTCGAGAAAGAAAGACTGGTACTTATTTTGCAGTTAAAAAGTTCCACAAAATGCTACATGGCAACAGATTTACTGTATTCACCGACAAAAACATTTTATTGTCAATATTTGGTTCAAAGAAAGGTATTCCAATATATGCTGCAAATCGTCTTCATAGATGGGCTGTTATATTGCTGAGATATAATTTTGACATCAAATACAAGTCAACCTCTGAATTTAAGCAAGTAGATGCTTGTCACGTTTGTTAAGTAGTCAGAAGTTGGATAATGAAGACACCGTCGTTGCAACACTCTCCGTTAAAGACGACGTAAGCAGAGTTCTTGTATATACTGCTCAACTACTTCCAGTGACTGCAGATCAGGTTGCCCATCACACCCTACGTGATCCACTTGTGCAGCAAGTCTCAAACTTTATCTGATGGGGGCTTACCTTCGAATTTCCATTCTCATAAACTAAAGCAATTTTACCAACGACATCAGTCGTTATCTATTGTCAAAGACTGTATAATGTTTACCGATCGTGTAGGGGTTCCGTTTAGTCTCCACAGATATGTCCTCGGTCAGCTTCGTTCGTCGCATTCTGAAATCGATTGCTCGCAGTTATGTCTACCAGGCCAATATTGATGAACAGATCAATGTTGTTCGACAATGCAGTAAATGTGCACAAGCATCCAAATGTCATTTCAAGACAGAACTGTGTTTTTGGCCAATACCATTGAAACCATGGTTTCGAATGCTTGTTGACTTTGCTTGACCATTTAATGGTATGCATTTCTTGATATTTTTTAATACATATTCTAAATGGCCACAAGTTATTCCTATGAAGTGTATTACGTCAAATGAAACAGTGATACAGCTACTGAAGCTATTTTACCGGTTCGGAATCCCTGACATTTCGGTGAGGGATAATGGGACTCAGTTTACGCCATCTGCGTCCTTAGACTTTTTTAAATCAGTTTTGTACTCAACATATTCATGCCCCTCCATATCATCCTCAATCCAATTGTCAAGCTGAATGTAATCGTAGAGGCAAAGGTGGAGGGGACAATGGAAGAAATTTTGGATAAATGTTTGATGCTTTACCGCACGACGTCGAATCCTTCAGCTCTGAATCAACTATCACAATCAGAAATCATATTTGGTTGGAAAGTCAAAACTATTCTCGATGGAATTAAGCTTAAGCGAACAGAAAAAGCGCGTAGCAACATGAAAATGGAAAACCAGTGCAATCACCACCATGGGGCAGAAAAGCATGTTTATGTATGCGATTTTCGGTTTTCACTACCGAAATAGATTCGTGGGCAAGCAGTCGGATGTAAAGGAGATGTGTTCAAAGTAAGTGTAAAAAGACAAACTTGGGTCGAACATATGAACCACATACGAGATTCGTCAAAGACAGTAGATAATAAGGAGGTGGACTCCATGCTTGAAGTTCTACTACATACCTTGAACACACTGCCGCTAGGAACACAAAAAGCGGATCAAACTCGACCGGTCCCAGCTCGAGGATCACGTTGACCAAAAAGGAGACAAAAAGCGTTTCAAATTAACCCAAGAAGGAAAACATACAGCTTGTACATGGGGAGATGATTAGCGGCTAAAACTGGAAATCAACATTTTAGGTCATCAGCCATTGGGGTAGAAGTGTTTTTGTTTCAGATTTTGACTTATGTTTATATGTGAACAAATTAACCTTATTCGGCGATTCTGTAAGTGATGTATGCAATGAGATAGTGTTGTTCTATCTTTGGCCTAGGACATTTTTATGTGTGTGGGAATGGTATATTTATGGTATACTTTCTCAAATAAAATGACCTTTGAGTCACAGGCCAGCGTTTGTCTTTTGCTATTTGCGTGACTTAATGAAGAATAAGGTGTTGAGGGGGAGTGGGGCAGGGGAAGGTGGGGGTGGGGGGGAGAAATAGTTATCTTGGCATTCAGTTCTAGTGTATGACTGCGTTCAGTATAGTTATTACCTACATCGAACATTCAGTTATCTTATCTGTAGAAACAAATAACAACACCATACGTAACTGATACATAGTTTCGCGAACACTATTATTCAACGTTCTACAGTGTTAAATACAGTTTTTGATGAAGATGGCTTGTTTCTTGAATCGCCCGTGTCTGGTAATCATCTTCCGTATTACAGTGTTGTAAACAAGAAATGTTCGCATTTATCCATCATTTACCTCACTGTTTTTTAGTAGTTATGAAATTGAACTACTGCATAAATCCTGATGTTGAATTGTTTTCTCTTTCTTATGCTTATTCCAATTTGTTGCTACCAGTTCATATATTTTTAGCTGAGAATTTGACTTTCGACTAATGTGTCATCAGTTCTAACCACACTGTATTAACTAAAGAGACGTGAGTAGTTGGATACTAGCATGGTCCTTATAGAAAACATACGGTACGTTGTCTAGTACACAAATCTGCATATTGTCGCTAAGTTCCAGTTGTCAGTAGTGTTGTCATTATTTCGATTACTTTTGTATTCTTAGTCGTTGCTTATAACAGGACATTTATTTACTGATGTACTGAGTTTTTTCTTTCTCGTTGTGATATTTGTCTCGTTTTTTGCATCTTTCCCAGTTTTTAATCGCTCTAAGTTATTTGTTTCGAACGTATCCTGAATTTATAAGCGTTAGGAGCCTGCCGTTGGACGATAAATTAGATTGCGTAAGTCCATTTTTTTTCGTAGTCATATTTTGTATCAGTTAAAATTTATTTTAATTTTGTTATTGCTGATGATATTTCACGAGTGACGTGATGTGACAGGTTGTGGTGTTTTTAGGATTGAATTATTCACACTCGGGATTCACTAAGCACATTACTCCAGAACGACGCATGGAGAGCAAGAATGGTAATTGTCAAATGTATATTTCGACGAAGCGCACTCACCGCGTTTTACACGTTTATGCAGTGGGATATGAACCACACCTGTTGTTTGAGGCTCAATGATACTACCTGATAACCCAAACCTCAGTAGCTAGAGCGGGATTTGAACCCCGTGGTCCACAAGTTGGAGGCCAACTCCCTAAACTGCTGAGCCCATAGCTCAACAAGCAGTTCACGCAGGGTCAGTCATACTCTATTGGATACAAGTCTTTACACTGATATGTTTCCAGTAGTATAGAACCAGTTGTACTAAGATGATAGCCGATGAAATTATGGTGTGAACAATAAGTAAAGAGAACATTGTTACATATATGAGCGCTATTCATGACTTCACCATACATACAAGTTTCACACATCTGTGTACTCAGTCATAACGTGTTTAGACTATCGAACCTCGCAGAGCCATTAAGCAATCTCTAAAGTCACTCATGGAGATACAAAGTCTCTCTGTTATTACAATATTCCGGTGACTCACTGAAAGCTGAGTGAATAACCAGAGGGAAAATAATACCAGAGTATACTAACCAAGTGGATTGTAAACGTAGATAACTTATTAGCGTTGTTGAATGTTGGAAAACTTGAACTGTTGAAGAAAAACAACTCCCTCCAAATATCTTGTGCTTCTGTGAGCTGCGGTGATGTTAAAAGATCAATAGTTGGACTGTGACTGATAGAACGATTTTTATAAGGCGGGAGTTTGTATAGGACATTCTCTTTACAGATTCAATGGAATCAAACCCACCAAATTGTGAATTATTAGGGTGAGTAATTAACTGAATTGTATATAAAAGCGTAAAAATAAACTCATCTGATTTCTTTAAATCCCATCCGAAGATGATTAGTTATTTTCACCAGTAATGTAAATGTAAATGAAATCATTGCTAAACAACCTAAATGGCAAGAGTAAGTCATGTCATCGACACACATCTATCCAAAAAAATCCATAACACTTTGTCGACTGGTCTTGCCACAGTATATGTTAAAGGTTTCTAGCACATGAATTGGAAGTAAAAGTCCTATAGCGCATCATCTTCGATCTCAATATATGTATGCAGACGTTCACAGTCACAGTTGTTGTAGGATGTGCAGACTTACCGGTATCGGGTGAATTTCAGAAGTTCAACATTCAGAAGGACTGAAATCAACAAATACAGCGTTTTTTTCAACAACTTTTCCTTTGCACACTTATCCACACACCTAGAATGTTGGATGTAGCAGTTTGTAAAATGGTTCAGCCGACTTACACTGGACATCCAGCCTTAGTTTGAATAAGACGTAGAACTAAGCACCCTAACTCTTGCCAAATTTGACAAGACTTTTGATCGTGAAAGGAAGCAGCATGATGGAAGGTTTTACCTATAAAAGCCATTATGGGTGGATATTGGGAACTACCAGTTGTAAGAACTGAGGAAGGAGTAACGGTACCAGAAACGCAAATTGCTATCGTCTTACGATGATCATTCTACCTAATAAGAGTGGAAGTCACAGAGAAATCTCTTTGGCTAACTTAGAATCTAAATTTCTTGGGTCTCTAATCATTCAACGCCAAACTCAAAGTGTATCAAGCTCTACAGAAGCTGTGCTATGTTTAATTGTTATGTGCAATTACAACTGAATTGTTCTTATCCTATTCTTTACATCTAGTAATTGTTCATAGTTTTATTGGGTAGACTGATGGAGTATGATGTGTAGATTTGAGAGAGTTCTTGCGTCAAGGGAATTTTCAGTATTCTTAGCCTTCAGTTACCTCAGTCACGTATTCGTAACCAGCTGACGTAGTTGGGATACCGTTCACTGTTTCCTCTCCGTCTACCGGGTTTATACCTCTGATATGTCGAGATTACACTCATCAAGTCCTGCAAACCTGTGAAATATTTTCGTTTCTGCTTCATTGTCAACTAGGTTATATAGTGTAGCATTGAATCAACTAGTGATAAAACTTGCCTGTAATTTGGGCTAAGAATGATCAAAGCTCAGTGTTTTACCTGAAGTTTTACTATAGTCATTTCATTTTCATATGATACTTCATTATTTGCGTCAACTTGGGAATATACTACTGACTGTGATGACATGACTAGTTGCTGGTTAACCACAACAGTCTCTAGCCAGTGTCCGCTAGCCAGATGATGATGTTATCACTGAATGAATATTTGTTACTTGTTTATGGTGACTAGTGATATTGCATCATCTCATAAATAAAAAGTATCATCAGATGATGTATACATAGAACGCGGAATGATAGATATTGTAATAGTGGAGAATATTTGTAACTCAGGTGGATGGTCTTGGTTAAACTGTGTTCTCCGAGCTGGGTTGTCTAATTGTGATGCTTTCATCGTCTTTCTAGACGACATCATCAGCACTAACTTCAGTATGAAGTGAGCTGTCCATATCTCTCCGTGAGTGATTTAGCAGCTTGCCTTGACGAAGTGGTCTGTGATTGGTTGTTTCCTTTGATTGTTGTGTCATTGACTGTACACATTTTCCTGTTGGCTATTCTTCTGTTTGTCCTCTGACCCTTCCGTCATTTATCATTTTTCTTATTGGTTGATAGATTGGGTCTATGTCTATGCATCTGTTGATTGCTGACTGACCTGAATGCCAAGCTTCTAGGAATTCTCTGGTATTCTTTGTGTTTCCTCTGTCCAAAATTTCTACATTGTCGAAATTGAATGCATTTCCATAATTATCCACGTGCATTGAAATGAGTGACGAAATGTCGTGACGTTTCATAGCCAATTGGTGTTCATGTTGACGAAGGCGAAGAGGGTGACCACTGTGTCCAATGTAGTGTTGACTACAGTTATTGCAGCTGATTTTGTAAATGATATTCGGTTTGTCTTTGGTTGTTGCATCCCTTGGTCTGCGTAATAGTTTTTGAAGGGAATTTGTTGTTTTATGAGCCACACCAATTCCAAGTGGTCTCAGTAATCTTGTCATGATTTCTGATATGTTCATTATGTATGGTAGGATGATGCATTTATTGATTTTTGTCGATGACTTTGTAATTTATGATGTACGCGATAGGGATCTTCTGATAAAGTGTCGTGGGTAGCCATTCTTTTTTAGGATGGACATCAAGTAATTTTCTTTGTTTCTCCGTGACGTTGTTGTACTCTAGTGTGTTCTCATTCTTTTGAATAGAGTCTGCACGCAACTAATTTTGTGCGTTGATAGATAGATATTGTTTAATGATCCAGTGACGCATCACATAAAGATACAAAGAAACAGGAATAATGCAAACAGCGAATTGTGGTATGATGAATATAATGTGTGAGTGCACTTGTGGCAGTGAGATTGATTCCGAATCATAGATGTAAAGTGTCTCTAGCCATCCATTTCGGTTGTTACAGCCGCCCAAACTGTGTGTGAGACGAACAGACAGCGAGAAAAACTTCATAGTCTACTTATACCTTACTTCCTAACTTGACTTTATTTAACTTTCTCCTAAACTAACCAGTATTTGGGATCAACTTACCAACTGAAATCATTGTGTTGTGAAGGTGTCACACATATTCAAGCAGTTACTCGACTGTTAACAGGTTGACAAACTGGTGCATACTTTTTTCATCTGTTTTGTTTTGAGTTCAGTCATTCAGTTGTGTATCATCAATCCTGACATAGATGATGTTTCCTGACAGCTCACTATACATCTAGTTGATTAGATGTTCAATTATTACTGTCTTTCATTGTCTAATAAGTTACCGTACTCTGGTGTCATTACTCTATGAGATACAGCGCGTCTTTCCTGTAGAGATTTGATATATTACCATAAGGAGTGGATTCCCAGCATATATCTATAGCGAAGTCTTATGCAAAGGTTTTATGTAACCAGAAAGATATAACATCAATAGGCCTCTGACGGACTTGAATCCTAAAGTTTCGGCAGCCGAAGATTATCATTGAAACTCAGACAAAAATGAAGCTCACTTTATGTGGTTGAAATCAGCTGGGAAGAAATCCTTAAGCTTTTTGGTAACCATCAACAAGATGTATCTGATACGTTTATGGCTCATTACCTAATGTGTGTATATGCACATCCACGTGGTAACTGAAAGAGAAAGATTCGGTTTAGGTTGATATATTTATTTTCTGTGCATCCATATTTCTATACTATTAATTACTTTTATTATTTTCACTTTTTGAAACCGAAGATTTTTGCTTTTTCAGTTACGTATTGCCAACACATTTTATAATTTGGGATTTCTGATTGCTGAAAGAAATCCAGGCTTGATGTTGCATAGTCATCAAGACAATAATAAATCACCCAATTATTATTATTATTATTATAACGGTGTTAGTGATAAAGATGAAACCGAATAAATTATTAGAAATTGGTCTTTTGATGGCACGTCGGTGGTGAATGAATCCGACAGCAGAATTAATTTATTTGAATGATTTAGTGAAGGAGAAGTTTGACGACATCGTCCATGACCGTAATTGCGTTTCTCCTAGTTCACTTGAACATATCAATTTTTGCGATTGATGACTGTTTACTTGGTGAATTGTAGAACTAAATTTTTGTGTTCTTCAGAATTCAGATGTATAGATTACTTTTTTAGCTTTAAAACACTATAGACTGTGAAAAGAGAGGGAAAAATATTTTTTAAAATTTTATCTATCAGATATCTTGTACACACATTATTATATATCAGGATACACCGATCCATTTTCTTAACACATTTATTTAACATTCACTTGAAGATATCAACAATACATTGTTTTGTTTGGTTGTTGAATTAATTGAATTTTTTTCTCCTACACTTTGTAGACAAAATAAGGAAATTATGATACTCAGATGTTATCTTGACAGTAACACTTCTAACCGTCAAGTTGAGCGAAATCAATTGTTGTTTTTGTGAGGGGGTAGGCTGATTTTTAAACAATCTTTAGGTTTCCTTTGCAAGTGAGTAATAATTACATTTGTGTCTTTCTTTTATATCACTGAACGTGTTTCGGTTGATGAATAGTTAAAGTCTTTACCATCATGCTTAATACATCCACAAAGATAGATTTAATAAAATCGTCAACGTTGACTTGTGGTTCATTAGATCAGTCATATTGCTATCAACTCTTAGGTCACAGGATTGAATTCTGTTCCGCCTACAAAAGTTTGAGTATTCAGGAAGAGTTATAAACTCTCAAACAAACAAACAGCTCGTTTCTCGATGCAAAAGCTTTTCTTCAGACACTGAGTAACATTTCGTCATTGTTGTTCATGTTCGAAAAAGCAATAATAATAAAAAAAATCCCGCTGCGGCTTAAAAATGGATACTTGTGACTTTATGCGCTGCTAGCAGAACCTAGAGTTGGTGGAATACACCAACATTATAACAATACCTCAGTACATCGCTATTTCACAATCAAAAGTGACTCAAATAAGCCTAGATTGAAGTTTTCAAATACGATTCTTCCCCGAGACCAAAGCTTACGTGCATATCGTTGTGAGTTTATGCCAATAACTAAACATGTTACTCCACTAAAAGACACGCTTTGAAGGACGAAATCCTAACAAAGCTTTTCCTAAAAGAACTAACATTCGTTTCCGTCCAGTAACTCGGCAAGTGAAAATTATTTTTGGTTAGTCGGCGTTAAAAATTGGAGAGAATGCTGGTTCATTAAAACAATAACGTGTTCTAGAAGTTTTTTTCCTCCAACATTGTGTTTTTTATAAAATATTCTACCATTCTTTCCACCTCCTCAGACAGGGATCCTCCATCATATTCCGCTTCTTAGAATAGTCACATACATCGTACAATAGGGTTCGCATGATCACGGCTTATATACCTACTTCAGTCTATTCCTGACTTAACGAATATCAACAATCTCTCAGATCATTGATGAATATTACTTCAAACAATGCAAGCAGATACTACTCCTTTACCATTAGCAACGAGAGACTTCATGAACTGGTGCCACCCAGATCTTGGTGTGGCCACCGTGAGCCTTCCTTCTTCCAAGTCAATCATACATTGTACGTGGAGGTAGTCGGTGCTTCGGCATGCGGAAGACATGTGCTAGCCACCTCAGTCGGTGATGTTTCACAACCTCATCTACTGAGTGGGTGACCTGCCTAGTATGATGGGCCTATTTCTGAATTCTGTGGTGATGATGTAGTCTAGAATGACGAAGAAAGCTTGATGATTCAGCCATCCAGGTGAGAGAGGACAACAGCATGAAGATAGTGAGCTTTGGTTAATCTCGCTATTGCTGACATGGTGTATGCGACATGTGTGAGGTGTGCTAGGAGAAGACTTGTGTTGCGAGACCTGTCATGTTTTCACATTGTCTACTTTGAACGGCCATGTCGGAGAGCCGTATAACAGGACAGAGTGAAATGCAGCACAGTATTGTGATGCTTTACGATGTCAGGTATCTGGGTAGTCGGCGTGAGAGATGACGCCGTTTGGGAGATATGAAAGGGGCCTTGTGTATCCGAGGTGAGATGTGTTTGTCAGGCAAGACTAGCCCGTGCTGGCTGATGCAACTGGTGAATTAAGTGGTGTGTTCGGAGGCATTCGACGACTTGACTGATTATTATCATCGTTATGTGGGAGTGGGTAAAGCATGCGTAGTTGTGGAGCAGCATCGACAGCATCGACAGAAGCGAGATGTATGTCGAAGATACAGAAGTGTAGAAGCCGGTGGATTTTGTCATCGTCTTCGCTTAACAGGACATTGTTGTGTGCATACTGCAGGGGGATGAGGCACTGTGCATCGAGTATGTCAACCCCTGTAAGGTCTGAGGTACGGATGTAGGTTGATGTGGATTAGTATGAGTATGTGTGTGAGGTGGTTAAGGAGAAAGGGGGACGACGAGTAGGCCTCCGTGATGGACATGACGGATGGTGGTCCATTGAGAGAAGAACTCTCTTGAAGCAGTTTGCTTATTACACGTCTGTTTGTGTGATTCCGAGTAGAGAGCCAGCCTTGATTCGGATAATATAGTTGGTCGGTATTGGTGTTACAGTGATGATGATACACTGTGAGACACACTGTTGGCGGACAGAGTTGAATGCTGCCTTCAGTTGAGTTCATTTCAGATGTGGTGAGGTGAGTTGATGTGATGTTATGAAATATAGGAATTATCATCCACTGTTGAGTATACGTGTTCTAAATGGTATGTTATCCGTTCTCAACCTCTGCCGGTGAATTTCCACGCACTGGATTCTCATGGAGCCCTTTGACATTAGGGCAGAGTCATAAACGAATCTCTTGGGTTAATGACGGTATCGATTATTGGTTAAGGTCCACGTTAGGCTATTTGAAAACTTTTATTTGTGACCAGTGATTTTTATGTTCCCAGCCTTTAAACGGAATTAATGGCGTTTGAACTTGATGGTGCTCCACTGCCTTGTGGATTAGACTTCTAGTGAAAGGCTATAGGAGTGGTCTCCTAAGACAATCACCTGCTTCTATCTGTGCACCCTGGCAGTGTGCCAACCGTCACACAATATATGAAGTTACAATATAGAATGAGGAATTCGAATCTATTATCCTACTTTTCAGCGAATACTTAAGCCCTTCGCACTAGGAACATTTAAACCGCTAACTCATTTTATTGCTATTGTATTTTTGTTATGTTTTGACGTATGACCCGTATTTTTAATATTATCATTTTCTCTTTTTCCGTAACCTTCACTCAGCTGCTCTCCATTTCTTAGACTTCTGGTCTGTCGGTGTCGTTTAGAGTCGCTTAATATTTCCCCTCCCCCATAAAGCCGTCCTCTAATGCAATATCTGACACAGCTATCCTGAATCAGTGCATGCAGCTTAAACTCTTCAACTTTAAAGTTTAACACCTTAATGCAGATCGGATAGCAGGCAGGTTTTGCGAGGATAGCCTCACTGTTGATGTATGTTGCATCTCAGAGACCCGCATACGAGATCCCAGTTATATGCTTCTAATTAGTTGCCTATTTGTCAGCTCGAAAAATGTGTTTCATGTGCGCTTATAAGGGGACACTGCGACATGGGCAAATGGCGTCGGTGTCGCACAAAGCGCTTGGCGCGAATCTGTGCTACTCGACTGGATCCCCATCAATAGTCGTCTGTGTGTTGTTAGACCAGAAGGTTCATCTCGAGTGAGAAGTAATCGGCAAGAGAAATGATGTATCGTTGTCATTTTTGCCTATGCTCCAACGCGTTGCAGCGCGGATGAGGCCAAGCATGAATTCTATCATCAACTGAGTTACCTCAACTATTGGGCTCGACGGATATCGTAGTGCTAGCTTGGGACTGAAATGGGAAGTTTGAGCTTTTAGGCTCAGACGAGAGTCGTTTAGGTAGTCACCAGTAACTCGTTGGCCACAGGTGGTATAATGACGTTTTTCTTTCTGTTGCTTTGCACAGATCACAACATATTCCTAGCCAACACCAACTTCCGACATAGCCATCGCTGCTGTGCTACTTGGCATCCTCCCTCTGCCACTGAAGCATTAACTCATATTGCAATCAGTTGCCGATGGCGTGGGTGCATACAGGACTCAAGCTCCATATGGAGTGCTCGTCTGGACTCTGACCATGCTTAAGTGTGTGCTGAGCTCGTCTTGGGTTTAGGTGGTCATCAAAATCATAGTCTTAAACAGGTCGATGCATGCAAATTGGTTGCAGCCAGATACAAATCCGAGCTGAATTTAAGGGTAGCTACCAATACTCTAAAAGTGTAGACGAGCATTGGCTGCACTTGCAAGACTCCATGAGAATTGCAAGTAAAGCCACTTGCAGCTTGGTAGAACGTCTAGCTAATAAATACTGGGTCTCTGCTATCTCTTTGCAACTTCTTGATGCCTATCGGACCATTCTGGTAGATATGGAGTACAATGGTTCACGTAAGTCTCTTACGCGAAAGATTGAAAAACGCTTACTCAAGGACAGTGAGACTTGGTGGTTAGAACATGTGAGTGAAAAGGAAGCAGCAGTTGCATCTGGGAATAGTCAGAAGCTGTACCAGTTCATCTGAGCCACTGGCAGCGAAACGCCTGTTGTCAGTGAGACACTATGTGACTTACATGGTACGCCGACAAACAATCTTCAAAGACGTCTGGAACGGTGGAGGGAGCACTTCGAGAATCAATTCTGGGTGGCCTACGGCCCCACCATTGTCAGCTTCAGTTTATCGAGTTCCATCCTCAGTTAACACCGACCCACCTAACCAAGCGTAGGTCCATAAGGAACTTCAAGTTCTGAAACGCCAAAAAGTAGCTGACCCAGACAACTTACCCCCAGCTCTTTTCAAGTATGGAGGGACAACTCTACTCAGAGGACTGAATCAATTGATTGAGAAGGTATGGCAGAGAGAGTGTTCCATCATTCTGGAATGA